GCTATACTATGCTATGCTATGCTATACTATGCTATACTATGCTATGCTATACTATGCTATGCTATGCTATACTATGCTATACTATGCTATGCTATGCTATACTATGCTATGCTATGCTATACTATGCTATGCTATGCTATACTATGCTATACTATGCTATGCTATGCTATACTATGCTATTCTATGCTATACTATGCTATGCTATTCTATGCTATTCTATGCTATACTATGCTATGCTATACTATGCTATACTATGCTATGCTATACTATGCTATACTATGCTATGCTATGCTATACTATGCTATTCTATGCTATTCTATGCTATTCTATGCTATACTATGCTATTCTATGCTATTCTATGCTATGCTATTCTATGCTATACTATGCTATTCTATGCTATTCTATGCTATGCTATTCTATGCTATACTATGCTATTCTATGCTATACTATGCTATACTATGCTATGCTATGCTATGCTATACTATGCTATGCTATGCTATACTATGCTATACTATGCTATGCTATTCTATGCTATGCTATTCTATGCTATACTATGCTATTCTATGCTATACTATGCTATACTACACTATGCTACTATACGCTATGCTATAATAAAGTCCACATATCTTTTGTCTTTCGTATTTCAGCAGGACTCAGAAATAGCAGCAAGCAGAGACAGACTCACAGTACACAGACTGAAAATTAAAATATTAGAAACCTGAAAGAATTAAAGCACAATTAATTCAAATCAGTGTATAAATGATTTTTTAAATATAAGGTTCAATATATAGTCTTTGGCTGTTAATGACACATGGGATAAATTTCTATATTAGATTCAGCTGCTTGTGAAGGAGGAGAATCAGTGATGCAGCATAAAGGGAAGCCATGCATGGATGGATGGATGGATGGATGGATGGATGGATGGATGGATGGATGGATGGATGGAAGGATGGAAGTGAAGTTGTGTCCATTCTAGGGATGCAGGATCTATTGATGTTAGAATCAGTATCGGTTGTTATTCATAATTTTTTATACATTAATGTTTTTGATCCCTTTATAAATAATAATAATAATAAATAAAGCACTGAAGGCAGCCATCTTGTCTAGATCTATAAATATCAGAGTACTGTGGTTGTGTTCTCAGCAGTAGGAAAGCGTTCAATAAATAGATGTTTGAGGTGATTTTTGAAAAATATAAACCCTGCTGAGAGACGCTGTGGGTCGTCAGCCTCCTCAGCGCCTCCACCACCTTTTATCGCAGTTACACCTTTGACCAGTGCTGCCGCTGGGCGGCCACAGGTCCCTGTGACGTTTGGGAGCGTTGCATCTCCATCCCGTCCAGGCATCAGAGTGAGGACCGTTTTTCCCATTTCACCATCACATTGAGGACCAGTTGGTATAGAGTGAGGACGTTCTGTTAGGGTGTGAACTGGGTTAGGGATGTGCTGCTTGTTTGAGCAGAGAAAGGGTTGAAAATGAGCTGAAACCAAACGGTCCTCACTACATATAGCAGGACCAGTGTGTGTGTGTAATCTATTTCTCTTTCTCAGATGTGGGCGAAGACCTTCTAAGGTTGTGCAACAGGAATGTTTGTCTGAACAAACACATCCTGGAACCAGCAGGTAAGATAACAGTTTGTCTGCATTCATGTTTGACATTAATAATGAGGTTAATAAAGGTTCCTGTAACCTGTTTCCTCTAAAGAGGAGAACATAAAGCTTTAGTATTTATTATCTCTGGCCCAGGACTCCCTTCATCAAGAGGTATAAATGAAAATAGTGTGAATAACACAGCCTAAGCTGCATCAGTTCAAACATGAATCAAAGTTTTTTGGTTCTTTTCTGAAATAATAGTTCTTTTTTGAACAGCAGTAATAAAGACGCTGAGAAAAGGCAGGTCTCATTGTTTTCCATTTGTTCTACATCATCATGTCAACCAGAGAAACGCCAGACCTCTGGCTCAGACGGTTCCAGACCTCTGGCTCAGACGGTTCCAGACCTCTGGCTCAGACGGTTCCAGACCTCTGGCTCAGACGGTTCCAGACCTCTGGCTCCGACGGTTC